TACTTTGTATTTACCCAGACTACCCTTATCTGCAGAATATTGATGTATACATCCACATCTGTGTTCAAAGTGCTATTTCAAGTAAGTCATCCACAAATGAACAGATAGGCTTTCATGTTACTCAAACTACTTTTAATGGAAATTACAAGGGTTCTAAAATGACAGATCTAGTCCTACAGAGGACAAGTGAAAATGCATTCAGTTTAAAACTGAATGATAGCTTACATTACTGAAATCTTACCTGGTGAAATTGTTTTATTAAAAAAATTGTATTTTTAGTATTTTACACAAAATAAAACCAACGGTTTCCTTTAAAGGAAAAAAGCATGACAGAATATCACAGAACTATGTTGTCAATTAGTGGTGTTATCAAAATTCCTCCAAATATTTCAATGGAAAACTTACATTTTGAAATATGAAGAGCAGGTAGTTAAATTTTGCTTGAACATATACAGAATGACAAGTTCTTGATGTGAGAGTTACTATACATGTTAAAAAGCCATCCAATGCTTGATGTAAATTTCACCAATGCTGATGTCCAGCCTCAGTTCTAATCTACATCCTTCCTTCAGTTGCTCTAAAATAATTGCCATTCACTTTTCAGTATTCTTTCATGCAATAAGAACATGGCAACTAGCAGAGATCTGCACAGATTATTAGTTTTTTTACCACTATAAATCTTACTTTGGACCGTTTTACATTCCTGTTAACTGTTTATTAGTTTATTAATTGAGTTTTATTAATTCTTTCAACATATCTGTAACCATGTGTCTGTTATCATTTTTTGGACCTTGTAAGAGAATGGATGTCATCAAATTTGGGCCACAGTCCAGACAAAGACTGGTTTCTGTTGCTCCAGTTTCTTTTCTGTTGTCCTGTACTTCACTACTTAACTGGGTCCTAACAAAAGGGCAGGCATTTGGAAAAGTGTAATTTCCCCTAGGGAAGTTAGGCCAGTCTGACCCCCTCAAATTATACCGATCAAAGTGATGTACAGATTTCCAGAAATGCACACATACACATGCTTTCCAAGTGTTTGTTCTGGAAGTGATATATAGCAGAGTCAATAATTCTCAGGAATTCCTCTAACTTCTTTAAGACAGAGTCTACATGTACTTGCTATTTTTATTCAGTGTTTATCATTGTCACATGCTGCTATTTCACACACTCTAAAAAACAATGGCCAGATAAATACCATCTGGTTATGTTAAAGCCTTCAGGCAGAATAATAAAGATGTAGATGTGTACATAATGCTCTTTCAGGTGCAAGAATGACAACAGTTCCCATGTCCCACGAGATCTGGCCCTTAATACCAGGCAAAGCTGGATGGAAACACGCAGAACATTCACTCAAAAGGGAGAAAACCAGGCTCTTGTTCTTTCTCTCCAAGCTTATTTTTTCTTTTTACTTAATGACAGTGCCGTAAAACATCAACAAATTTAGCACAAAGGTTTTTTCCCTTCCTTTTCCCTTCTAAAGAGTCCCTCCAGTATTCAGGACCCGAGATGCACTCCAGCTGTGCCCGCATGATTATTTGCATTTTATCCTAAATGATCACAAATAAGTACTGTCCAGCAGCATGGTCCTCCCTAAGCAGGACTATCAAGTTCTGTCTTTAATGATCTGGACATATCATCTCCAGTAATGAGAGAGAAATCTGTGGAAAATCGCTATTCTTCACAAAGGCTGCCAAGTGCAGGACAAGCTTCCACTGGAAATGTACCAAGATCCAAACTTGTTGGAAAGACAAAGGCTGAATAACAAACAAATGGCAGAAAAAAAATTGTATCCATTGGTCACAACTGGATGTGAAGCAACAGCAGAAAGAAACAACTCTGTCTAAAGCAAATCTAACCATAGTCCCTGTCTAAAAAAAAAAAAAAAAAATTGACGTGGTCTAAACCAAACAACTTGCAGCTGTAAAGTGCCAATGAACATCAAAATGTACAAATAACAGCAAAAAGTTCAACACATTGGAAAGGATATACCATAATAATTTGCATGGTCTAAAAAGGGACCAAGTTATCAGGTGAGCCTGGCATTCACTGTTCTTCCCAAAGCACTAACACAGAAAGGATGGTGAATGTCTATTTTCCAGTTGCTAGTACACTACGTTTTGTTTTGCTCCTGTTAAGCAAATCAACATTATGATATTTAATCTTGCTGGACTGGAAAAAATACATAAATTCAATTTTGCTATGAAAGGCTACACTAAGAGTTCCACATTACAAAATTTAAAATGTAAATTAGTTTTTCTTCAGAATTTTTTTCCCATTTGCAATTCACAAAGGCAATTTCTCAGATAAAGCTTGTTAGTACTACTCAGTCACTAACACGTTCCTTTTAACCTGCTCTGTTTACTGCTGGAGACAGTAGCCAAGAGTTGACCATATCCCTGGGTAAGTATGTTTTTTTTCCAGAAGTGGCACAGGCTTTTCTGAGGAATTGAGATTTATAGAACTGTAACTAAAATGCGTTTCAAGAAACACAATTTATCTGTGAGGAATTAAGATTTCATTCACATGGGAAATGTCGTACTATGGGAAATACAGTCCTCAAGTAAAGTTGTGTTTATCTGAAGTTTGTTTTCCATGCAATGAATTTCAGCATTGCTTGATCGAAAAAGACATGTCAACCTTATCTTTTAAAAATTACCAGGATTGCACTGCCATTTTATTCCGATGAGAATGAAAACTAAAATTCTTATTCAGCACTGACACAAATACGAAATGTTCATATCAAATACATACATGAAAATGACATTTCATAACTCATTTTAGTACCCTAAAAGAGCAATAACGCCAAAAAATCTCAAATGCCTAACAATTCAATTCTTGTTATATTATATTCCTGAACAGACCAATTGTTGGATGTCTGAATAACAAATGGCAAAATGATCTTGACCTCTTAGGACAGATATTGTTTTTCTTCCACTTTGTGTCTGGAGGGCTTAAAAGAATGACAACTGTGTCCCACGCTGTAATTTACAAAGTGTCCTTAATCTACAAAATTTATATTATACGGAATACATGTGATTGCCACAACAGCATGGAATGCCCTGGACGGATATTTCATTTATCTGCTACTTTGTAACGGGTAACAACTGGTTGGCTGCACTTCATTTTGTGTTACTGCCTGTATTTTACCCAGGGCTGAGGCAGTAACAGTAAGGGTGAGCCCTAACAGTAAGGGTGGCTGAAAGATACCCCTGGACTGCCTGCTCTGGGGCCTCCAAAACACTGGATGCACAGAAGACACCCCAAATCGTCTGATTATCACTTGACACCGGTCACAAGAAACAGCCAACAGGGAAATTCAGTTTGCTTCTTCCCTTTCCATAATTATATCATGCTTCATGTAAAGTGGGAAGTTCAGTAGGTGAAAAGGTCTTGTAAAGAATTTGAACATTTGCCATCTTATCATTAGGTAATGACTTTTTAATAGTTTAATTAACCACCAAGCAGTGAGAAGTCCAGCATGAAAATGGTTGAAACTGCCTAATAATTAAGTCATGAAACAAGATATGCTTCAGGGAAGGGGAAACAAGATATGCTTCAGGGAAGGGGGTCTTGAAAAGGGTTGGGTGACAGAAGAAGAGAGAAGCTGTTCAGTCTTCTAAGGAGTCTGTTGGAAGAGGATCATAAAGTATTTAAAAAAATAAAAAAACCCAACTTCAAATAATGAAATCTGTAAAACCAAGTTCAAATTACAAATAAAAAAAATGATATAATAAAAAGAACTTTTGATATTTAGCCTAAGTAGAATGCCTCTTGGGAATAAAATTTATGTAAAGTAAAATTATCCTAAGACCTCGCAGTACAAAACAAGTGTTGAGCGTAATGATGCAATATTAACGGTTTTGCTGCTCACCTATCCAGAAGAATTTTAAACAGTGTGAAACTGTAAAAAAAGACAATTCCAGAACCTGTAAGCAGCTAGCACCTGGAAGTAGCTCATGTGAACTTCACATCACCTCAAGGGGTTAGACCTGCTAATGAAGTGACATGGAAACAACCAAACTACCAACTATTTTTAGCAGCAGAAGGAAAAAATCCCAGTGACACTGGGGCCAGCCAAGGAGCCAGAAATTAGCTAAATTCCCTGCAGGTCCCTCAGCCAACACCTTGCCCAAGAGTCTAAACACCTCTGTGGAATTACCGTCGCTATTTTTTCTTCCACTTGGTATCAGTAGTGCAAAAGACTCAGAAGTACCACTTTGAACCAGCTAGCTACTGAGAGCTGAGCAATGCACCAGCTACAGCTGGAAAGAAAGGTGACATTTGGCCCTCCAGTGACAGTGCAGGTAAATGAATTACTTTAACTAAACAAAAATAATGAATACACCATCAAGCATAATCAAAAAAGCGCAAACCCTGAAGCTCTCTGTCCCAGCATCTCCCCAAACGGAAACTTATTTTCTGGTTAGGTTACTCAAGGAACATACAATTAATTTACCCTATTCTACTAAGGTGCTGTAAGGTCTAAAATACTACATCGGGTGAAGCTCAGTTGTATAAAACACTTGTAAGGCTACTGAGTATGTGTAGCAAATTGAAAGCCTGTCAGTAAAATACTATTACTACAGGTTTTCCCTTTAAAATACATGCATTTCAGCAATCAGATCACAAGGACACATATACAGCAGGGCACGGGGGAAGGGAAAGAATTTACAATGATGCCAAATTCCAGTGCTAGAAGAAACATGAAGGCAAACAGCACCCACTGCCTACGGCCCCAAGTTTATTTTAACTCCAAAGACCACTTGTATGCAGAACTTGACTGTGGAAATATTCTCCGCATGGAATAAGGAAGGAGAGGGCAGAAACACCACAAGTGATGGTTGTAAAGCCTAGTTGCTGATGAGCAATGCCCTACCAAGGTATGATATGATGGCTGAAGCAGTGTGGAGATTACCTTCAGAGCACAACAAAACACCTGAAATTGGTTCTGTTTATTAACAACCATATGGCTGCAGCATGCCTAACAAGTGTCAACTCACCTGTCATAGATGGTGCCAGTTTTCTTTGCCCTTTGTGGTCCACGGTACCTTCGTAAGCTACAGTCACATCATACACTGCATCCAGATAGTCTTTCATCGTGTCAATGGCTACATGAGTTGCCTTCACACGTGGTGTTAGCACATGCTTTAATACAGCAAGTCCTATAGGGAAAAAAAATAAATAATTACACTGTTTGAAAGTAAACTGGACTACATTCACAAAAGAACATCAAGCTACGGAACTTCAGAACCCCTGTGAAATCACAGAAGATTTATTTTTAATCTCAAATCTCAGTCGACAGAGCACACCTGTGTGCACACTGCACACACTCGGCTGAGCACACGTAGAAGACGAAACAGAAATCCTAAAGCATGTTAGTGACAAAAAGGCTGATCAACAGAAGAGTCCTTTTTACAGCTCCTGCTCCAGAAGCAGTGATGGTTTTAATGGGGCTCATTAGTGATAAAACAGCACTCTACTGCTTAAGTTTGTCCAACTGAGGTAAAAAGAAGAGCAAATTAGCTGAGAGATACTAAACATGCAGGGCATTGTCTCCCGAAATTCAGTACTGGAAACTGATTTGGTAGGTGAGGCATAAGGTCATATAATTTTAAGCACACCTAATGCTCAGCTGGCGTTTTACTTACAAAGGACAAACCGATTTTGTCAATATACTGAATTTCAGTCTTGCCCCACGGTAACAAAAACATGGCTGTCTTAAGCTGCACATGCTTAAAAGGGATACTAAATTTCTCCGAAGATACCATGCTCTCAGAAATTTAATAAGTTTTTTTTTCTACTATAGATTCTAGCTTTCCCTGCTCTTGCTTCCTTCTCCCAATGGCCCATTCTAGGATGTTAGATGTGGCTACTTTGGGACGCCTCTGGCAAGGATGAGGGAAAGCAGTGAGACTCAAGCCAGCTTCAGCCCACTGCAATGACTGGCTGCTACAGAAAACAGGACATTCTGCTTTATCCTTGCAGTTGTTTCCTTTACTGCTCTTTTCTGCACAGTTGTTCCTGCTGCTAACCTCATCTAGTTAAAGATGTCCCTGCTCACAGAAGGATGGGTTGGACTAAATGACCTTTAAAGGTCCCTTCCAGCCCAACACATTCTATGAGTCTGTTGGTGACACCTCCTCCCACCAGCTGATACAACTTACCATCCCAGCAGAAAACTAACAAGAGAGGGGGAAAATATAGCACCAAGAACTGCCAGTAAGGAGGAAACTTTCTCTATTTCCCCACAATCAATCTATTATAATTGACTTGGCTACTACCAAAGCCAAAATCACAGAAATCAACTGTTGTCTTCAACCATCCAGACCAAGACACAGAGATTGGTATGTCACGGACACAAGAACGTCAGGTTTAACAACACTCTGCAAGTGTTAACAGCCTTGTTTGCTTCAGCTGTCCACTTCCATCTAAAGTACACTTAAGAACATACAAATACACTGGGCTCAAAAGTTTATATTTTATTTTATTTCCTGAATTTTAATTTACAATGATTTTCAAAATTAAAAAAAAAAAGCAAAACCAAAACACCCACCCCTTTTAATGACCTGAACACAGATCTTCCACCCTTACTTGAAAATGTTTCTAGGAAAAAAGTGCACGTTATGCAAAAAATTTCACTATTTGGTTATATGAGAATCTTTCAAAGAGAAGTATCAAAATAAAATCGCAATTATTCCTTTCTAGCCTTTCTTCTGTGGCTTACTCTTTCTTTTGAAAGAACCATCCATTGGTGCTACGGGTTCCTGATATACGAAGAAGAAATTTTTCTAAACCAAAGAATTGTGGTATTTTGATATCTTTCTGCTTATAAAATCAACTCAAAAGATTATATTATGTCTTAATTTTGTACTGAACTTCTCTCCCTTGTTGGGCAAAGCATACTTTAATCTAAAATTGTAATACGTATCAAACACTATAAGACAATGCTAGTAGAAACTGCTCTTGGAGTTGAAAATTTCAGTATAAACTATTATATTGATTTCTTAACATTTGCAAATAATCGCTTTATCTGAACACAGAAATAAAAGGTTATTTACTAGCACTCCTTCTGAAGTCATTGTTCTAAGCTTTACTGGCAACAGCAGTAACAGTTTATGCAAAATGTAATACGGATCATGTAAATATTTTGAAGCATAACATGGTGGTAATGTTTTCTTAGCTTGTGAACCGTTACATGAAACAGCTAATTATGTTATGTTTCCAAATGTTTACTTTGTAAATGAAGTACTGCATATTCTACTGTTGTGTGTCAGCAACGGTATTAGTGCAGACATTACACTCAACACAACTCCCATTGAACCAAATTCCCCAAAATATTCTAAAAACACTGTCATTTCTTTCCTGCCTAACTCAGTTTCTCTCCTTAACCAAACTATTACTGTGGGGAAGAAAAAGGCAAAATGGGCTTCAGTGAGAACTGAATCCTCTAGATGAATTAATTCAGGTATCTAGGACTATTCAATACCAAGTTTTTGTAATCCATGGCCAATTTTGGTGATGAAGATGGTCACTGATAATCTTCTCGCGCTGTAGAAGTGAAACTGTGGAATAAGCCCCACTTTAACTCCACATGCTGTCAGTGAACTCTTGAAGGTTTAAGTACAAAATGAGCATGCATGTGATTAGAATCATTTAAGTCCATAATCTAATTCAAAAACACACCAGCGCATGACAAACAGGCAGCAATGCCAGGAGTTCAGCACATCCTTTTAGAGAATCTGTTTTATAAAAACATTAACCACACATTCTTGCAATTACTTGAAGATCTTTGCTAGAGTCAACATATCAACATAACAATTTAAATCCAAGTAGTTACAATATAGTTACCTTGGCAAGCCGCCTGCAACCAATTCACAAAACACACTGCGCTTAAACTGTTTTTTAATGTTGTGCAATATGAAGTTGGGACTCTCTGTCAAAGCTTTTGAGGTCATGAGATTTTATTTTAAATGCCAAGGAAAATGAACTAGATGTCTAATAATGTAATACTCTACCTTAAAATGCTATAGCTTTGCTCTTCTCTGTTAGAAAACTTGTAAATGATAAATAAACATAAAAACAATTAAAATAATGTGAAAATCTGAAGACCTATGGTAAGCAATGGTACATCAAATATCATCTAGTTACTAAACTATAGTAAGATATATAAAGTCTGCAAGTAAACTGAACAAAATAAAGTAAGATTTTAGTTTGGGAAGGACAAAAGTGCAAGTCATTAACGTCTATACAACTGAATTTTTCATCTAAATAAAAAACAACAAAAAAACCCAAACAAGACATAATTTATCTCACCTCTCAGGGTAAAGTTACATATATAATATCTGAGTAGAGGTCCATAGAGAAGAACACTCTTACTCTTCCCTTCATCCAAGCCAAAAACTCACAGAGCTGGTCAGTGCAGAGAGCCCACCCCCATTTTCAGACCTGGACTCCATTAGTTATATTGAACAACACATTTTTTAATGAAAACAGTAAAAACCACACACACAGCTTTAAATTAGACTACTCTATGTGTATTACATTGGCATTTTATCAACAAAAGCCATGTGCATACTAAAACTGGATGTCGGAATTTGTTTGAGGTTTTTTCCTCCCCTATAAAAAAATGTTACTTGACAGTAATGCAAAAACTGCAAGCAGGGTGGAAAACAATTAATTGATTTCAATACCAGTTAGATCGTTCTTTCCTTGTTTTTCCTTTTCATAAATATGTGTGTATGTGTGCAGCAGCAATATTAGACCAAAAGCTTTGCAGTTACGTGGGGTGTTTCAAGTCCTCATCCAACAATTGTGTTCCCACCAGCCTTTTGTGATGTCCTCGGTGGTTGAAGTTTTACTTACTGAAACCAGAGCTAGACTTATAAAATGATATACGGTGGGACAGCTCATCCGTTTGTGTTACTGTTCCATCGACTTATGTAAGCAGGACTCAGCCGATGACAATATCAAAAAAACGGCATGATCTTGCAAAAAGTGTTTTCTGTTGCCATGAACTAAAGCACATGAAATATAAGTAATCTCCTCAAGAAGAGTATGACCGCCCCATAGCAAAACACAGGAGACACCACACTGGTAGACTTTCTCCTGTGATGGATCTCTCCAGAAATACAGGGCAGCTTCTTGCCTTCCTAAACTTAATTTCCTAAGGATGACTTTTAACAAAATCATTCTTCATCCTCATGGCATGTCTCTCAAATGCTGCTCGAGGTTCACACCCCACTCTTTTTAAAAATTGTATTTGCCTTTCCACTTTTCACTGTGCACTTCTACAGCAAGCTTGCTTACATGAAAGCGTGTGGAAAAAATATCACCAAAGCTATTTTCTTTAAAGACAATTCCAAATAACATTTGTGGATATTAAACACTTCAGATTGCTTTAGAATACAATCTAAAACCAATGCCAAGATCTAAAAGGGAAACATTTTCGATAAGCTCAGTTGAAATACCTCTTTTTTACATGACCTGTAAAAGCAATTTTGAGATAAGCATATCCTGCACGTACAAACATCTTAGCAGAAAGCGCGATACTAGTCAAGATAAACTTAGCATTAAAAAAACATTTACATTTGCAACTTTTCTGCATAAAAACAAGGGACATAATAAATGAATACCTGAAATGTTTGCTTGATTAAATGACCTTTGTTTGAAATCAAACGTTAATACAAAATTCCATAAATGCCTTCCACCAGGGAAGATTGTTTTGTCTCCATTCAGCAAAAGCAAGCCAAGTTAAATTTAACAAGCTTCTTACCCCTTTCTCTTTGATTTTTCAGAGTAAGCAACATTTAGGAGTAGGAGGGCTTTGGATTATTCCTATTTATTATCAGATTTAAAAAATGCCATTTCTTAACATTTGAATAAAACTCATACTCTATTAAACCTAAGGAATTTGTGGTTATTTGAAACATTACAGAGGTCTAAATACCAGAAAACAATCAGAACTCCATCCATATGTATTTTGGGAACATATAAATAGAAGAAATTAGATACTAGGAACTGTGACAAAAAATAATAATCATGTATTTTGTTGGGTTTACAGAACTTTTTTCTATAGTCCAGCACTATTAAAAAGACCCAGACTTTAAAGATTTACAGTTTGAAATAAATACATAAAATAAAAATTACCTCTTCTAATACTTGACAAGGTTGGAGTTAGATCCCTATGAGAAGATGTGTGTCACCTACATATTATAAATCCCTGGATGTGGCAACTCAAGGCAAATGACTAGTGGTGAAAGAATCGCTGCACTTTTAA